AGCTGCTGAACACCAACAGCGTGCCAAAGAGGCTGAGCTCCAGGATCACTCGAAGAGAACTGCTCCGTCATACTGACAGTCGAACGAGCTGTGAGAGTCAAGCAAGTCTCTGCAAATTAGGGATCCTATCATACACAGGCCCTCAGAGGCATCTTCGGGCATCATGATCCTTAAAAATAATAGGTGCACTGGTTTTTAAGAAGCCCCTCAAACGCCATATACCCACAGCTTGTGGGCATAGATCTCTAGCCATGCGAGCAAAAAAACTGTACTGCCTTGTCGAATATAGAACCCTCTTGCAAACCCTGTAATACCTTCAGATGGCGTGCTGGATGTGCAGGAGAGCAAGCTAGCGAGAGAGTTGCGGGAGGAGGTGGAGGAAACTCGTTTGCATGGTTTCATTTCGAGAGGGTTTATGTGTTGAGGGCAAGCCATGTGTTGTGTGAAGCCCAGGCGAATCAGAAAAGCAGAGTGGCGCTGGCAGCTGAACAACAAGCTCTTCTTCTGGAGCAGCGGGCACCTGTTCAAGCAATTACTCGGCTCGCGGGTAGGGACGGGAGTTTAAAGCAGCACGAATGCCCTCATGCGATCATGTGTCCCGTAATCAGGCCAGCGAGGCCCGTCAGCGAGCTGTCGAACACCAGCCACGCGCTGAAGAAGATGAACCCCAGGATCACTCGAAGAGAACTGCTTCATTCGTTCATGTTGAGACTGAAAGAGACGCGAGGGTGTCAGACCATGTTTCCTAATAGACTCTTTAATAGACCCACAGTGGATTGATCGAGTCTCTCACCTTTAGGCTGAAGCTGTTTGTAGTCTCTTTAGTTCGTCCTTCGGTCTCAGGATCTCGTACTAGACGACCGCGCGGCTAACAGACCTCAGACCTCTGAGTCCGTGAGAGAGAGAGAGAGAGAGAGACTTACCTGCTCCCTTAACCCCTGAGAAGAAGAAGAAGAAGGAAGAGAGAGAGAGAGAGAGAAGGAAGAGAGAGAGAGAGAGAAGAGAGAGAGAGAGAGAGAGAGAGTGAGTGACCCAAAGTGTCAACTTGTCTTGGCACAAAGATCATCAGATCAGGCACCACAAGCCCTGCAATCCCCTTACAGACTCAAGAGAATATACGGAAGGTTTCAAAGGGTGTCCATGGTCCTATAGCTACAGGTTTGTACATGGGTTGCCGAAAGGTAGGGGTACCAGGTGCTCCTACCTTCAAGAAGCCCTTGAATAAAGGCAGTCTCCCATGTTCTGCATCTGCAGGAGAGCAAGCTACTCTTAGAGAGGGAGCTGCGCGAGGAGGTGGAAGAAGCTCGTTTGAATGGGCCGCCGTTTGGAAAAGGTCTAGCTGCAGGTGTTTCGGAGTAAGCCCATTGTGTGAAGTCCAGGCACAGCAGAAGAGCAGAGCGGCGCTGGTGGCTGAACACCAAGCTCTTCTGCAGGAGCAGCGGGCACCTGTTCAAGCAATTAATCTTTTCGGGCGCGCAGGGTATGCCGGCTATGTGATCTCGTTGAGATGTTTGAGAGGCAATTTCCGCGATTTCCGAGCAGGGGGTCGCAGCCCTGGCAATACAGGAAGCCGAGGCACAGTTTGGGGCCGAGAAAAGTTGCAGGCACAGGAAAGGGCTTCATGCACCCTGGAGTCCGCTTGCCCCTTCAATTGCACGTGCGGTATGTATCCGAATGGCCGCAAATTGTTCGACGAGATGCAACCCTACTGGCAAACTTTGCATGCCCTCATGCGAACAGATTTCGTGTCATCAGGCCAGCGAGGCCCGACAGCAAGCTGCTGAACACCAACAGCGTGCCAAAGAGGCTGAGCTCCAGGATCACTCGAAGAGAACTGCTCCGTCATACTGAGAGTCGAACGAGCTGTGAGAGTCAAGCAAGTCTCAGAAAATTAGGGATCCTATTATACGCGGACCCTTAGGCGCATCTTCGGGCATCATGATCCTTAAAGTAGGTGCGCTGGCTTTGAGAAGCCCTTCAAGAGCTGCATTCCTACATCGCCCTTCTCTCGAATGTGCTGCATGTACAGGAGAGCAAGCTAGCGAGGGAGCTGCGGGACGAGGTGGAGGAAACTCGTTTGCATGGGTCGGTTTCATTCGCGCAGGATTTAGGTATTTCATCGGCCTCAGTACTGGTTCAAAAACGGGCAAACCACGGTGTTGTGTGAAGCCCAGGCCCAGGCAAGTCACAGAAGCAGAGCGGCGCTGGCAGCTGAACATCGAGCTCTCCTGCAGGAGCAGCGGGCACCTGTTCAAGCAATTATACTCGTTTTGATGCAGCAGCGGGTAGGGATGGGAGTTTGAACAACCGGCGCATGCTCCCAACTAGCATATTGTCCTGTAATCAGGCCAGTGAGGCCCGTCAGCGAGCTGGTGAACATCAGCCACGCGCTGAAGAAGCTGAGCTCCAGGATCGCTCGAAGAGAACTGCTTCATTCGTCCATGTTGAGAGTCTAACCAGCTGTAAGAGAGTTGGGAGTAGAGTAGAATCCTTGCATAAGGACCCTGGAAATAGCCGACAACTGTAAGAGCACCCAAGAACCTACGACGCAACTAGAAGCCTTAGGCAACGCGTAACTGAAGTCTTGATGTGAAGTGCAGCAGGCTGGGCATGAGACCATGCGCACTGCAGACCCTCTTCAAAACAGAAACCGCATGACCCTCCTCTGCCCGGTTCTGCATGTGCAGGAGGGGACGTTGGAGAGGGAGCTTCGGGACGAGGTTGAAGAAACTCGCTTGCATGGGTTGGTTTCATTCGGAGAGGCGTTGAGGGGTTTTGCTGTGTGAAGTCCAGGAATCGCAGAACAGCAAAGCGGCGCTGGTTGCTGAATGCCAAGCTCTTCGGGAGGAGCAGCAGGCACCTTTGCGAGCAATAAATTCTGCTTGGGAGCTCTATGCGCGCTCGTTAATTGCAGTTGACAGGCAACGTCCCAGATTTCCATGGAGCACAGCGCTGCAGCCCTGGCAATACGAGAAGCAGAGGCGCTGCGGGGGCAAGTTCTTGACATAGCTGAGATAATTTTATTGCAATACGGCGCGAACCCGCCCCTTTTACGACCCACAGATTTGACGATTTGTACCTTACTGGCAGGATCTCGGGCCATCATGGTTCTACATGATGCCAGTTGTCCCTTTCTGTTTTTTGCCAGCAGGCAGAGCAACAGCAACGCATCTGTGACATGTTGCAGTCAGAAGTGGCGCCTCGTCTGCAGGAGCAGCAAGTAAGGACATATTTGTGTGTTGGGTTCAGGGTTTGGGCCCTGAGCTGAGTGTGATGGGAACCTGGCTGGGCGAGCTCCAATCAAGCCTGTGTAAAATGGCCAGTTTAGGGTTTCGTGTCGGGTCTCGAACCTATATAGGGAACTACACCGCTTAGAAGTTCAGAAGGGGCGCTTCAAATCTAACCCTGCACTTCCTACCGTCGGTGTCGACGTGGCCTTTAAGGCGAAGATGGAGGAGTTGTCGTCTACACCTTCGAGTCAAGTCAGATCAGAACAAACCGAGGCAGAGGCCAGCCAAACGTTCGGATGCTGATCATACATGTGTAAATAAATAACATTAACGAATGGGCGCGGAAGCGTGCGCAAGCTACATTCGCATGCACGGAAGGCTTGCGGACCGGTAGCTTTCAAAATCGATGCGCGGAAGGGGTGTTCGCAAGGGTATCTTGCGGAAGGGGTGGGCGTAAACACCTGAAATGCGGAAGGGCGCGCGGAAGGCTTAAAGCTTAAGAGCTGACTCAAGGGCCCGCGCGTAAGGGACAGTTGGCTCCGCGGAAGCTGCGCGCACCCTAAACGCGGAAGGGGTTGATAGCGTCAACGGATTGAAAAGAGGTTTTGATAACCGCTCATATGAATATAAATAAATAAATAAATAAATATATATATATGTATATATCTCTCTCATTTATATATATATATATATAGTTAGGTACATATATATATATATATATGTATGGTGTATTGCATGTGCCGCCAAAGCTAAAAAGGCACGACTGCATGTGCAGGAAATTATTGGGCACACGGCGCCGGGTGCTCCTCAGCCTGCGGCATCAGGCCATTTCCACGCAACGAGGGAGTTTCGCAGTCACCTTTGTACTCCAGGCACCGACATGAAAGACGAGCGGATGCGGGATGTGCTAAACACTCTGTCGCACATGACCCGCAAACTGACCCAGCAGCTTGGCGAAGAGTTTGTCGTCAGTACTGCAGAGTCTAGCATGGTCAGAGTTTTAATAGTCTAGACAGGTTTGGCTTGTGGACGCAAAGCCTTGCAGCCTGCCCATTCCTGCCAAGGAGGCTGCACTTGGCCGAGCAGGAACTGAAGGATGAGATGCGAAGCGCCTTGAAAGCTCAAAGGGAGGTCCAGGACCACGTCTTGCGGGTTATGCTAGTGCCTGCTCGTCTGGATAACTCCACACTTCCTCAGAATATGTGCATGGCTGCCTATGGTTGCGCGACAGGCCTTGCACGAAATCACAGCACTGTTAAGGCAAACTCCCGTTTGAACTTCCTGCAAGCCTTGAGATCTTGCTTTGCTTGACCGGTCCGGTAGATTTAGATTCTGCTCGGACACAGGACCAGCGCATGCAGCAAACAGCTGCTTTGGCTGACAAGGAGGCTGAAATGCAGAAGAGACTGAACCTCGACCATAAAGTCTTGTGGCGATCGTTTCTTTTCCGCTTGGAAACATACCTGGAGATGTCATCTTACACCAAACTGGTTGTATCTAAGGGCACAGCTGGAGCGGGGAAGGATGGAGTCGTCCCGAAAGTCTCAATCTCAGAAGGCCCGGTTGGCTCGATGGACTGTCTGGTGCTCAGTAGGGAATCGGGGAATGGATCCCTATGATAGTGCCTTAAGGTCCCTTATAGTAGTCCCGATAACCCATTCCCCCATTCCCTACTAAGCACCAGACACTGGATGCTACCATCAGCCAACAAACTTCTGCAGCACTTTGAGTTGGCCCTACGAAAGGCGACACCCTAGGACAGCGCTCCGGCTGAAATCAGCGAATTTCGACAGGACCCAGAAGCCTCGACAAAAAACCTTGAAATGAACGTTGCGAAAATCTCTATAGAACCTCTGTTAGGACTTGGACTGTAAAGAACATTTTTAGAAGCCCTTCGCAGAAGGCGGAGGCCGAGCATTCAGCGGTGGCTGCAGCCGTGGGTCAGGCAGAAGCAGAGCCACTTGTAAGAACTTGAGCTCTGCCGTAATATATATATATATATGTATATATGTATATACAGTATATATGTATATCTATTATGTATGCATATATATATATACACATGCATATGTGTGTGTGTGTACGTATTTGCATATAAGGACATACATGCATACACATACATACCGAGAGGGCAAGTATATGTATGTATGTATGTATGTATGTATGTGTGTATGTATGTATGTATCTATGTATGTGTGTATGTGTGTATGTATGTATGTATGTATGTATGTATGTATGTATGTAAGTTATGTATGTAAGTCTGTATGTATACGTACATAAACGTGTGTGTTTATATGTAAACATTGTGCATATACACATATAAGCACCTATCTCTCTTTGTTGTGTATATAAATACATACATGTTCTATATATATGTATATATATATATATATTATGTGTGTGTGTGGAGTCACAAAACATCGACAGATAGCATATGAGTGCATAGTTAACTACTGTTGATGATATAAATCCTGCATTACCTTAAGGACCCTAAGCTATGGGAATTATGGTAGCTTCCTTATTATGGGTAATGCAGGATTTATATCATCAACCGTAGGCACATAAGTATCAATACAGATACTTACACACACACACACACTCTCTCTCTCTCTCCATATATATATATATATATCCGTATATATATATACACGTCTTATACACATATGTCTATGTTTGTGGGGGGGGGTTTGTGACTCTTCATGGTGAGGTATGATGTTGAGGATCTTAAGCCTAGAGGCCATTTTGGGAGACTTTCGAACTATTAAAATTCAGGTAGCGATCCTACTGTTCGAGGTTTAGCTCAGGGTCCTTTGTTTTCTCGAGCCCAGTATATAGCCCCTTTATAGAAGCCTTTCCATAAGACCGATACTCTTGTTTTCTTGGTAGTTGTGCACTATATTAGTTGTACTCCGGGGCACTGCTAACTAGGCACAAGCAAATCTTATATTAGTCGTACTGTACCTCTGTCCCTTGACATTCTATGACATTCTTGGGCTGTTACTTGGAAACGATGTCAACGCGTTATGTATGTGCCCGGCCCTGGCGCACCGAAGGTTTGAGGAAAGCGTGCAGCAACTGCGGACCGCTGGCTTCTCAGACCATGGCTTGACAGAGTCAGCGTAGTATCGCCGAAGATGCGACAGACTGCTTGGCTTCTGCTAGGCAGAAATGCAGGCAGTGATTCCGTGCTCAGGAAGTGTCACTGGAGAAGAGCCAACATGTTGCTGCCTCAGTCAACAGTGGTCCTTTGAGGGTTCCATCAGGGTTCCGCTACAGGTGCACGGGAAAACACAAGTGCTTTCCTGCTGTGATTGTGGAACTTCAACACAACGACACGGCTTCCTCATGAATGCTGCAGTAGCACTGGCTGTAGAGGCATGAAAGTCATAGTCACAGTCGTAAGTAGTTAGTGGCCAACAGTTAGTGCTGGAAACAATACCTCGCCTGGCTTGGTCGAGTGCGAGTGCTAAAGGATAGGAACAACGATAAGATTCTTGTCGTACTTGAATGAAATTCATATATCACAACGTAATAAGGAGTACGCAACATTTCCAAAACAAAAAACCATGATCGTAGGGAAGTAGGCGTGTGGGTAGCTTGAGCGCCCGCCTCGCTTCGAGACCTCATTCGACCGTTCACAGAACCAATGTATTTATTTAAAGGGTTTAGGGTTTAGGGCTTATAAACGATCCGGGTACTAGTCAAGTCGTACCAATAATCAGACAGAAAGCTGAGGCTGCCAATGTTTCACGCCTGAAGCAGCAACTCATAGAAGCAGGCCTGGCTTCCTGGCTTGTCGCCCCATTTCTGCGCTGCATGCTGTGCATATTGACGAGCATCGCGTTAAGGGGCGTCAGAGTGTCTGTGTCGAGAATCGCTAGGTTTGTTTGACATCACTGGCAGAAAGCGAAGGGTAAGTCCAAGGCCCCAAAGGTGGGATGAAGGTAGGTAGGCTTAGGGTCAAGGATGCCTTATAATTATAAGGACTCTTATTTGGGATCAGCCCACCTACCTTGATATCACCCTTGGAGCCCTGAGTAAGTTGTGATCGCCACGCAGGTATCGAGGCCCAAATCAGAGAGGAGGACGTTGCTCGGAGCCTCGTGTGCATGATAACTGTTCAGGCCTTGAATGCTTGTGAAGGTGGGGAATGGTTAATACTTGCCGGGACTGGGTTCCTCACAGGATCGGATTCAGCTGACATCATATTCTTGCTGATTCCAGGTCGTTCCCATTCGTGCTACCTGCTACCGCCATCTGCAGTGCAGATTAAATACAGGGGCTTGACGCCGATTTCAAGCTCGCTTTCTGCTTGGCGCATGACTGCAGATGTTTACCAGCTGAGCTCAGCTTATAGCTCGGACTTCTCATCGCGCCGCCAAGCCCAAGCCAGGTTTAAGCTCCGATGTGCCCTCTGATGGCCTTGGAGTCGGCATTCACAGCGTGCACATGTAGTCTAGCCCGGTCAGTGTATCTTGCATACCCGACATGACAAGCTAGGCTGATGTGGAAGCAGAGAAACAAAGCACATCCAAACGCAAAGACGAGTGTGGCCGAAACTTCCCCGGCGGCACGCCTCCACTCCAATCTCCATTGGCAAATGCACAGTGGCAAAAACTTCCAAAATGCCCACGGCTCGAGATCGAGGGTCACTTGCAGCAAGACAAGCAGAGACTTGCGGAAACTCGTAGTAACGAGCTTTTGATGTCATTGGCGAGCATGCTCATCGTTGTTACTGTAGCAGAGATTACACCTTTCACAAAGCCTTACAACAGCGAGGCCCGCGCCGATTTGGATCTCCTAAAACAATGTAGTCGTGAACTGAGGATGGTCCACTTCGAGCTTCAACAGTCACGCCAAGAATGTGACAGTATCTCTGCTCAACACCAGCAAATGGTTCTCATGTCAAGCAGCCATGCATTGTCTTCTCCTAGATGCTACTCGCTTAGTGAGGGAAACCCTACACCCCAAAATCCTAAACCGACACCACCGGCCGACCGCGGGTGGGTGCCGCTTGCGAAGGCTTACGCAGAGACGCATCGGCAACCATGACTGCCGAGCTGGTGGCGATAAAGGAAGAGGCCCCGCTTAATAATAGTCAATGAAAGTAATATGATGGTAATGCTAATCGTGAATGGAAGAAAAGAAACGTAAGACATCAACCATAACAACCAACAGAAACAATGATCATGTAATCAAAATGTTACGAGGCCGGTTTGTCCACTGAACACGTGGGCAAAAGTATTACATGCTCATCATAATGCAGCAGGGGACGGAAAGGGATCCCCATGAATGAAGAGCCTGCCGCGCAAATGTATCTTCATCGCCAAGCTGCTGTTCCGTGTCGTGGAGATGTGGATGGGGTTCGCCAGAGGGCACCGAACCCTACATAGTTATATATGCCAGACACAGGGATGACTGACATTTCCGGTTGTGTATGACACTCCTGAATTTGTCATGAACCATTTGCCCGTGCTTCTGTCTAAGCTTTCACATAGCTTACGCTGCAGTGCACGCTCTGACTTTGGCTGCTAAATTTCTGCGGCACGATGACGAGGCAGCGGCTGTGGCACGTTCACATGCTCAGCTTCTGAGTGCGAAGAATGAACTGCAGGCAGGGGGTTTCGAGTGTGATAGGCAGCTTCAGAGTTTGCAGCATCTCCGCCCTATCTTCTCTTGAGGATGAACTATTGGTTCTCCAGCAGCAATCCGTCGTGGATCTCGCAGCAACGCAGAGGCCGGCACTGCTGGATCCCCGCAGCTCTGCCAGATGCACATTCAAGGGCCCCTACCAAAATAGCAGCAAAAAGCTTTCATCTTCAACATCACAGCCTGTCATGTTCGCGGATATTTCGTAGATGAACCGGATGAACCCTGAACCCCCCAGACAGTACAAAGTGAGTGCTCTCGCCCAACACATGCAAGACTTGGGAACTTGACCTGTTTGGCGACTGCGGGAATTACTGCCAGATCTGGTGAGCTTAGCAGTCATGTGGGTCATGGTAAGTGCAGTGTAAGTGCTCACACTGTGTCATGCTCATCACAGCATGGTATCTTTTGATAAAGCAGCAGGACTGAGAGTGAGAGCCAAAAACAGCAGGACTACACTAGACAGTCGCTCAGTGCTACTCAGTGCTGCTATGCTGATATCAACCGCAGAGCACCGTGGATAGTATAAATCCTGCATTACCTCAAGGACCCTGAACTATGGGCATTAAGGTATGTCATGTCCCTTACTATGGGTAATGCAGGATTTATATCATCAACCGTGTGTCCATTTTTCTGCGAGGTCGGAGCGTGCTGCGGCAGCTTTAAGAAGCCTGGTGGCCGACATCCGCCGTGCGGAAGAGGGCGTGCCTTGCACTGCAGATACCGTCGGGGTTAACGCTGATTCTTCTGCTTGCCAACTTGAAACTGCCGGCAATCCGAATAACAGGAACCATGCGGGTAACCCATGATATGGGATACCGGTGGACGAGCCAATAGTTCCAGGAACCGGTTCCCATCACAGTCCCGCCAGGACGAGTTTTCGAGCTGTTGCGGGTGGAGCATATATGGATTTAAGATGATTTCGGGTTGTCTTATTTCGGAAGCACATCTGTCGAAATTGGTTCGTGTCGCAATGCACTTGAGCAGGGGCTGTATGGCCCAAAGAGGCATGCACTGGTACGTTAGTCTCGAGTTCACCAGGTGTACTGTAGGACTTTCTGATCGGCTTTGGCATGGAAACCTTATGGCGCACATTCTGCCGCGATCCATCGGTGAGCTGAAACGTTGTGCACATTGTGGCCTTCTTCACAGACCTTCTTGCACAATGATTTTTGAGGATGCAAGCGGCCTGACAATGCGGTGAAATTCCGGTGTTGAACGAACCGGTGGCCCGTGGACCGTCTGTTGAAAATCCAAGCGTCGGCTCACTCACTGTCAGAGCCAAAGCAACACCGGTCATGTTTGATCGATCCAATCATGGTAGCCGAAGGCGAATGCAACAAGAAGTGGGTAGTTCTCGATCAAGTTAAGGTTGTCTTTTTGTACTTCAGGTCATGCATACAACAGTGACACGTGCTTTTGGCGATCCAAGATGGTACCTTCATTGAGATAAACTTCTTCTGATTTGGTTAGCGGCCTGATGCTGTGGTCGCCCTTTGCCCACACAAACAGCTTAAGTTGTAAGTTGTAGGCCACAGTTGGACGGCAGTGCTCAAGGTTCGCCAAAGTTATTCATTCAGCTTTAAGCATTGTTGTTTGTACGTTGTTGTTTGCCAGCCCAAGTCTCCTTGCCGATAATCTGGCCTCTTTGTTTGCATCATGTGCTGCTTCGGTTAGAGCTTTCCCCTGCATAGCAGCGTATCGGCTTGGTTCGAGCTTACACTGGGTAACTACGTACTACAGCTACACTAGTGAAAGTTAAGTAACAATCATAGTACCGGAGGCAATGACACTAATACAAACGGCAGTGGTGAAGCACTGATATCATTTGCATATGTCGACGAGTGGACTCGCAGGTGTGCCCGGAGTTTGCCTTGCTAGGTGTTGTCCCCACCACCGGTTTCCGACTGGGACGGGAGTGTTATTAACGGAAGCTACGGTGCCCGACAACTTCCGTTTCGCACTTCTGTCGTGGCTTCCGGTTCCGCAGATACAGACAATGCCACTCATTGCTTGTTCCACTAAGCGACATGCCTGGAGTGGGCCGGCTGGGCGTCAAGCCGGACCTTCTCGCTGTGTCTCGCTGTCAGTGGTAGTGGTGGTGTGACTTTGGCATGGCACACCGAAGAAGCCTGACTGGCTTCTGAGACTTCTCCATAGAGCCCGGCGGTCATGGATGCAGAGGATTGCAGAGGTACCTCAATGTACTGCATGACTCCCGGCATAAGCGCGCCGCGTCCTACCAAACCAGCTGTCAAGCACTGACGAGCAGGAGAATACGCACCGGGGTCACAAAGACGTCTAGAGTCTGGTACAAACAACGCAGAAACGACTTCGCGGTCGGACCAGATGTAAGCTTGCATGTGCAGGTCGCACACAGCATTCCTGGTTGTGCCATGCACACAAACACATATTTTACATATAGAAAAATATATTTCTGTCTTTCTTTATGTACAAATGCAACATATCGACGCAAAGGCAGCAGCCAGGGAAGCGGCTGTCATTGAAGAGCTGACTGCGACCAGGGGGAGGACAGGAGCTATAGGCCAAGGTTGGCTGGGAAATGTAGACTTGTTTCTTGAGCAGGTTCGAAATTCAGACCACAGAGCTGGAGGCAGCCAAATCAGACGAGACACTCGGCCTTTCAGAAATTTATGTGATGCCAACTCGCTGTGCATGCAACATCAAGGCTGCACAGCGAGGAGCTGCTCCATGCCGCACACGAGGCCACCCGCGGTGCCTTGCGGAACCCTGTATGGCTCAGCGCAGCTTCTCTCCAATCGGGAGGTTCAGTGTATGCTGCACAACGAGTGTGGAGCTTTGACGGCGCATGTGGAGCGGGCTGCTACGGCTGAGCCTGGATCCCAGAGGAGACCAGAAGTGCGCATTGCAAGCCTAACATGTTGCAAGCATTACCCGGTGCGACGCATTCAATGCTTGAGGTCGGTGGCTCAGGCAAGAGCTGCCGAGCTTGACGAACAGCGCCAAGTCCTGCGACAGGATCGGGAGGGTAAATGCCGTGCAAGCTGCCGAATCGGCACCTCTTGGACTATTGGACATGCTGCGCCAAATGCCACTTTCGGATAGTTCATCGGGAGAGATCGCTGGACTTGACAGGAGTGCCAACGCCTCCGCAGTGACAATGTACTTCTTCGGCGGCAGCTGCATGGCGGATCACCCGCGCTCCAAGACATCAAGATTCTCGCCCTTCAGGTCGAACTCGAAGCCACTCCAAGTCTCAGATCTTCCGGGGTCCAGCTACCACACTGGAGGATGCATGCAGTAACACGTACGACGCATGGCTGGAGGATGCTACTAGTAGGTGTAGCCGTCTATGCATCTAAGGATTGTTGCAGCTGCACGAGGTCGCCCTTGAGGTCCCGGACATGAACTGCAAGCATCAACAAGCATCAGCAAAAAGGAGGCGAGGGAAACTTGCGGCGGCAGAGGATTTCGTGCTGCTCCTCTGGTATCCTGGCGAGGGGAGGCTCCTTCAGGCAATCCCCACCATCGTGTGCAGTATCCCTGGCGAAGACAACAGGTGAAAGTTTCTACTCAAGGACTTGCGGATTGCATTGTGGCGGACGGTGGACGTGAGCACCTCCTTGACAGATGAGCGGCAATGCTGGGAAGAGCCGATCATCCTCGCATGGTGTACGTGACGGTACGGGAACCGCTACAGCGGCTACAGCCACGTCTTCAAGCGAATCCAACTTGACCAAGCGAATTCGAGTCGCGGCTTTGCCCATGCTTTCCTGGCTCGCCGCCTCTACACTCTACAGTGCCTCTCGCAAATGATCACCCGTCTCTGCTAATGGAGAAAATGGAAACGGGTCAAGCCCAAATAATCCTGGAGTAATTGACTTCAGATTCTGCACAATGCATACGTCTGCGCCATTAGGTCGAGCACGTGGCACTTTAGCAGAGCCCGGACTCAATCTCCAGCAGGCGCAAGCTCTGCTGAAGGGGCTTGCGTGGGTTTCGGAAATCATACCTTAAACTATCAAAACCTGCTTTTTGATGGGTTCTTAGTACAACTAAACCTTAATACAGAATTATACGGACCCCACAAAGAAGTAGGTTTTGGCTCTGTCGTCGGATGTTGGGATCTCCCTAACCCTCGCCTGCTGCGTCGAGTGCGAGTACCAAAAAGGTTTTGGTAGCTCAAGGTAAGGATGCTCCTACTTGCAGGCAGAAGAGCAGAGGGTCAGCGGCAATCTGCAGCAGGCCTATGCCATGTACAGGACGGGGCGCCGAAGGCACTGAGCGCACCTTGTATTCAATGCAAGTGCTCGGCAGGAAGATTCTAGATGCCGACGGGAGCAATGTCCATGCATGCTGCTCAGATCGGGAATGTGCACTATACCCTAAACCCTAAACCCAAAACCCTAAACCCTAAACCCATCTAGCATCCCTTCACATCCCTTCAGATTCTGAAGGCGCTGAGGGGAGTGGTGCGGTGCCTGCTCGAGACGGGCCATGGTCGAACAGCCCAGGAGGCTCGGAGAGTCGAGACTCATAGCTTTGACAGTCGGTGAAGTTTCCAGAGCCCGTTTTTCAATGTCTTCCTCTTTGCATCTTTTTACCATTGTTAGTGGATTAGGATTATTGTTATTCATATCATTCGTATCATAAGGTTGTTTTGGTGTGGTGTCCGTTCTTGGGAAGACGCCCCTATTGCACGCAGCAGCTGATGCACATGGTAGAACGTGCACGTGAGCATCTGGCCATGGCAGCCTGACACATAACTTGGAACATGCCTACTGTCATCAAACACGGAAGACAACTACTAACGGTGCTTTGCAAAGTTATCGTGAGTATGTGTGAGCGAGACATCAATGTGGCAGGCAGCAAGGCGACTTCAGGCGCAGACGGTCCTTGCCGATGATCCTCAGAGCTCCCTGTGATTTGCGACTTGCAGGCGGCAGAACCCTCTGATGCCGAGGCGGGTTGTCGAGCCTCAAGGGAGCTGCAACCCTGTCACAGAACTCCAGGGCCCCGTTTGGGAATTTGTGTATCAGTGCTGGTGCAGGCCAACCTCCTCCTGGCCGAGGCTTTGCTCTGCGCAGGCTGCCGAGTTAGTAGAATACTCTCAAACAGGAGGTTGGCAACTTCTCGAAGACGGATCGCTCAGATATGTTTGTGGAGTGCAGAGCGCCTTCATACCTGCTTCTCTGGCACTTCACGTGCTCATGTGCTTGTGCGCGCATCGCATGGGCCGGAGAGGCTGAATTGGTGGCCTCTACGAGTAGCCAGCTGCCCTAAGTCATTTCTGTTGGAGGCCAGGCGCCAGCAGCAGAGCGGCCTCTTGCCGTTGCGTCGGCGCGACCTGTGGCATCCTTGTCAGTGCCTCGGGAAACTGCCCAGCAGCGCATGTCAAAGTGCGTCACGTTATGTTTTTTTAATCATGCAATGTATAAATACATTATGCTACATGCGACTATATGTGTTTTGCACTTTGGAATCAAACTATATTGTTGCAAAGATTATCAGATTCTAGCGGCAGCGGCGCACCGATGGCAAGTCCCAGCCAAGGCGAAGTCGCATTTTGCAGGCGCAGGCCAAGGTGCATTGCATTGGTTGATAAGCGCGCTGCACAAACTCGGCCATACTGTAGCCTGCTTCATGAGGTGGCCCTGTTTGCGGAGGATTTCAAGAAGGTGGGCCGTCACAAGACTAGACTGATGGCCCTAGGCTACTAGGCCGTGCCTGTACCCACGACTGAGCTACCCGGTTTGTCAGCCCAAAGGCATGACGTGCGAATGCCGGTAGCAGCTGCGAACGCATTTCCGCTGGAAGGCGATGAGCATGGCATCAGAGGCCGTGCGAATGGAAGCAGGTGAAGCTGGCGATGTGAAGGCAGCACCGAACACTTCCACTGCATCGAATATACTCACATGTACTTTTTCTTTTATCTTCGCATGCAGATATCTTGCGTGCGAGACCTGGGTTCACAGAAGCTGACTCTGAGAAGCCCAGGCTCTCCTGGCGCTGGCTGAAGTGCGGATTCAGTTCGCAGACTACGAAGCTCAGCTGCCAGCATACCAGCAAAATTCCGTGATTCCCTTGCCATAGATCGACATTGCGTCTCTTTGGCCAACATGCGCCCCTAAGCTAATCTTCAAACGCAAAAAGATCCCCAAAATAACCGACATGAACTCTACGACTCTACGACTACGTTGCCTTTCCTGGCTTGTCCCAGCCAGTGTGGGGGTGGGAGTGTGGAGTTGGGTGGGTGGGTGGGTGTATAAGGGTCCTCAACCCGGCAAACCTAAACCCCCGAAAAAAACTTCAACACAATCCTCAATCCTACTCAAAGCTAGTCCAGTTTGCTCCCCTGCAGTGCGACCCCATAAGCTGGACAGGTGTTAATTATATCAGAAACCATAAATCACCATCCTAAACCCTTAGCAAAAAACAATCCTTCCCGTTCTCTAAAAAGATAAAAAGCAGAAGCACGCAATCGGACGAGGAAGCCGCGCTGCGGGCCCTCAGCTCGGCAGAACAGGCGCTTCGAAACGCGGGGGCCCCTGGATGCGCCTCTTGGTTCCAGAAATTGTGAGGGCTCTACAACTCTTCCCTATGAAAGTGCTAAGTCTGGAATTCTGGATCCCTGCATGTTCCCTGAGTGTGCCTGTCCGGGTGTGAACCCAACAAGCCTGATGCAAGACGCGGTTTCGGCCCTACGGCTTCAAGGCTTACATCGTACTGTCCTCTACAGAATCCTTGTAGAACCATGTCCTTGGGGCTCAAGCAGTTTTCAAGCAGGGTTGTTTCCCCAATTTTCAATTGCTGGCTCATGCCACAAAGTAAAATGGACATGGATCCGCCTGACGAACCACTCGCGGGAGGGGGGTGGGCTGCCAAAGTACACTCCTTATCGTCTATGGCTAGTTCGCAGCAGTCAGGAAATCGACCCCATCAGCGCAAGGAGCCGCAGAGTCGGTTGTCACAGAACAGCCACAAAGAAATGAGCATTCAGAAAACCCTCTCGCGCCTGGAAGCTGAATACCGTGTCTTTCAGCTCTTTCCGACCGCAGCAGACGGCGAGGAGAGGAGTTGGGTTCAAAACTTGGTTCTTTCCCGGCATTTTAAGTGCTTGGTCGTCGGGGTGATCGTTGTGAACGTGGCTTTGATTTCTGTAGTGGAAAGTGCGTGGGAGTGGGAGCAAGTTGTTGATGTGACCTACACGATCGAGCGGATTGCCCTCGTGTTCTACCTGGCAGAGTGGATCATTCGAGCTTTGGCCCGAGAGCTCAAAACTGATACGTGGTGGATGCTGCTGGATTTCTTTCTGATATCGGTTGGTGCCGTTGCGCTGATACCCAATCCGTTCTGTGTCTCCGACACCACCACTCCCACCGCCACCACCACGGCCGCCGCCACCACCGCCACCACCAGCTCCTGCACGGCGTTTCAGCAATCTTTGCTGATGGTGCGTCTGCTTCGTCTGTTGAAGCTAGTGCGAGTTTCAAGAGAATGGAGACGCTTCAACGCCATGTGGGTGCTCCTTGATGGGTTGATCCTTGCTTTGCCTACCATAGCGGCGGCGGTTATCTTTGTTGCGATCATGTTGGCCGTTTTCGCTGGCTTGGTGAACACCGTGCTCATCAACGACGCAGACTTGCGGGCGGATCCCGTCCTGAGCGAATTGGTACGAGATAAATTTGAAACGTTCCCCAAGGCGATGCTTTCACTAGTCCAGTTCCTTTCTGGCGACAATCTCTCGGAGCTGTACTTTCCGCTTGTGTCGGCCAAGCCCGAACTGGGATTAATGTTCTTCCCCATCTTGATCATGATCACACTTGGGCTTGTGAGCTTACTGCCGGCAATACTATTTGCGAACAGTGGTCGCGAAAAAGAGCGAGCGCAGTTCCAAGGGCACGAACATTTCAGGAAACTCGCCGAGAAGCTTGAGGAGGCGTTTCATGTGGAGGGATTTGTTCACGTCGACCGCGGCAGGATCGAACAGGCCAGCAGTCAGCACAAAGGTTTCGAAACCTTCCACTTTCCAGATCTGTTTGACCTCTTGGCCAGCAAGCTGTGTCTAAATGAGAAGGACCCAACGCTGAGCGTGGAGGAGTTCGTAAGCGCAGTCATGGACATCTACGTGTTCAACGTGCCCGTGTCCACTGTGGAGATGAAGGCGCAATTGCGCCGACTCACCAGGTGGGTCACTGGAGGCATCGGCCGAGTCGAGGCCAATTTGGGGAGAATGCAAGACCGGCTCCAGCGATCAGAGCTCGATATCCAGAATCTCCAGAAAACGGTGACAAACATGGACAACAAGCTCGACCGCCTCTTGCAGAAGTTGGGAGTAGATGATGTGGCACTGTCGTTTTAGACTGAACCGATTTTGTGCCCCAATGTGCGCACAATGGAACTTCCAGCCTTATAGGCCTTGGCAAGTTGATGCTCGCTGTAATCGGTCGTGGCCCAAAAATCCCTCGGTTCTGAGTAAACAGTGCGTAGGACTGGTTGTGGAACAGGGAATTGCCTAGTCCCCAATCCCATAAGCGCACACAGCAGTTTGCCAGCTTCAACAACTTCGTTGGATAACAGCGACAGTGGCGCTAGTTTCCACAAAGTGGCGCGCCACATTTTCCCAAAGTGGGCAGACGTGTTCAAAGAAGGGTCGCAAAAAGCTTCTGCGAGCCAACATGTCCTCAAAGGAACCTTGAACCGAGCCTTAAGACACAGAACTTCATCCTCGCCTTCCCACTAAAGGAGAGCCGAAAGCCGGTTGCCAGAACGCTGCTGGCAGGGGGCCCTGACGACAAGGGCGGGTAGGTTTTAGGGTTAGGGGATTAGGGTATAAAGCACTCTCACCAGTACAGTGCAAGCTGGCGGACGGGTGGCTAACTACCAGGCGTTCTTGCTTGCAAGCCTGCAGCAAAAAAAAGGGTATATCGATGTTTAAATCCTTAAACTTAATGAACGAATTTGTTCATGTGGTTTACACGGTTGATGATTGTTGACGGTATTGGGCGTGGGGTGGCGTCTCAAGTGAATGGAGAACCCCTCCGGAGACGGAACAGATCCAGCCCTCGTGTTTGCGGATGATCTCCCTGACAAGCAGTTCCGTAGTAACGATGTATTAATTGACCAGTATATCCAACACCCCGATTCTGATTATTAAGAATATCCACAATAACCCTTATACTAGGATTGATGCGGCGTCCGACGGTGTTGCGTCTTGCGGGTGGACCCACAAGAATCCTTACTGTAGCCGCTTCGGGCGGAGACTTCACGCAGACACTTGAAGTCAGACCAGGAAGCTATGCGAGTAATTAATGTCCACTTCTTATGAAGTAAGGGCCACCCCCCACCACTCCTTGAAGGATGTGAGCCCCAGCCGCCCCAGCCTCCGTAATAAGAGTCGGGATCCAGACAGAGGCCCCCACAGCCTTCAGCACCCTAAACCCTAAACCCTAAACCCTAAGAAGTGTTTTGATTTGGAGCCTTTTAGCGGCCCTCAAAGCTTCCAGAAGCTTTCGAGTCCAGAAGCCAGAAGTGCCACAGCCCTGCTTAGAGCCCCGGAGAACCCCAGGAGCCTTAATGCCTTTTCAGAGTTTTTGAGCTTCAAGCGAGATTCTGGTCAAATACGGGAAATGGATTTTGCAAATTACGCGGGGATTCTAAGTATGAGGTTGCCATTAATTGCCTCGCTTGTTGTTCTGGACAAGTTTTTTGTCGGGCTTTTTTGGGTTTGCATCTTTGTCGTGTTAATAGACTGCTAAAATCTCAGCTTAATTCTTGCTAGAACAGGGAGCGGGGCATGGCATGCATACTATGAAGCACAGTTGGATAGTATATAGCAGATTATACTAGCCTGTGTCTGTCGTGCTAGGTGGTTAAGGGTTCGGGTTTGGTTGAGGTCCGAGGGGGTTTGCTCCATACAAGTAAGTAGTGGCTCCTGCCATGTAAAGTCTTCGGGAGCTGCCACGCAGGAGCAAAAAAAAACATGTCTTTCTACATGATTCTGTGTTCTTTTGCATGGTTCTACTGTTTTTCGACATTATCCTACATTGCACATGACTTGACCCCAAGGGACGGATTGGCGGACCGTAACTTGCTGGATGGTTGAAGTGCTTCTTATGGTAACCCTGTTTACATGGGGCTTGGCCAGTCCTACAGAATACTGATAGCTGTTCTGATCCATGCCTAGTTGTGGTTCATCCCCCGAACCTTTGAAGGCCTCTTTCACCGTTAACCTCTAGGGTAACGTCCGAAAGAGAGAAGATTCAGAGAGAGAGAGCGATGCCTTAGTGGAAAGCCCAAACCTGTCTCAGGCCCAGACTTGTGGACTCGCAGCGCGAGCTCAGGAAAGGTCGCGAACCCAGACACAGACTTCTGAGGCCGAGAGTGTAGATGGGAGTTTCAGAAAATTAGGGTACCTTGTTTTGGGGTCCTTATAATAGGGACCCTATTAATTAGGGTACTATATTAGGGTCCCCTATTTTCGGAAAACCCCAGATTCGGCTACCGACCCAGCACAGTGTCGACAGTCGAGCTGGTAGAGACATGTTGCATTCCGAAGCATCTGGATCGAGCTTGGCGGTGTTCGTGACGATTTCTGAAATTTGGAAATGTTGGACATCGGCTGACCGACGCCACACCAAGTCATTGAGATGAAAGTGTTCCAAGCTCTGGGAGTTTCAACACACTGCGTTCTCCGTTCCCTGCCTTTGCCCCTAGCTCGCGCAGACCGACGCGCTGCGAAGGCAGGCCGTTGCTTTGACGATGCGGGAGCAGTCATTCCCTGCCGTTCTGGTGAGGCAGTATGGGGTTTACCCTGCCAGTTCACGTCTCCTGTGTGAGCAGCTCCATCGGCATCAAGGCTCCGGATTTTGTAAGATGCGTCTGGTCATAAGTGCCCACCACGGGCCAGCTGAAGACATAAGATGTAGTAGTCCCAAAAAAACCCTGACGTGCTGCCGAACCTCAATTCCGTAGGACCCCGACCTGCACCTATGGAACCTCGCTTGGCTTCTCCCAGCTGTGAGAGCCTAAACCCTGACGTGCTGCGTGGCTCCCTGACCCCTCATATCTAATGTAGGGGCCTAAATAATT